ATATATAAATAAATTCGGCGTGTCGTATAAGATTATTTTGGCTGGGTTAAATTCCAACGAGAAAATGTTACGGCGATTCACGCACGCCCACGAACTTCACTTCGATGCACGTATATTATGGCTCTTGTGGAACAGTTCGAAATCCCAATTTCACTGAACACGCAGGCTATGAATTTCAGAAGCTCCCGAAAGGACATTACGTTTGTAACAGGATACTAAAACTGATCTGAACAGCTGCATTACGTGCGGTTGATAGGTATATGCATTTCCGATATATGACGATTTGCCGCTGCGCTTAATTAATTAAGCAATTAAGTACAACGCCATAAAAAGGTACAGGGAGTGGCAGTACAGCTATACAAGTCTTGACCTCGGCGTTATTTGGAGGTGAGTGGTCAACTTCATGCTCCGGCCAGTTTAACCGCAGTATCCACTGGATTGAAGACTACGTGGGACCCAGACCATGAAGGGGCAAAGCGGTAGAGTAGTTGGTTGAGGCACTATGCTACAAGCCGGAAGGTCGGGGGGTTCGATTCCCGATGAGGTCGTTGGATTTTCAATTGATCTAATCCTTCCTGTCGCACTATGACCCTGGGATCGACTCAGCCTCTAACGGAAATGAGTACCTGGAATCTTCTTGGGAGTAAAGAGTGGCCCGCGCGTAAGACTGACAACCTCAGCGTCATCTTTAACCCGGCTATTTAGAAACTGTGGGGGCCTCGACGTCTCACAGCCGTATGGGCCTCCACGTCCTGCTATAGGGATAGCCTTAACCTTTTTTTTTATTTCCCCACTCCACAAATATACAAAACAACTCTTGTTAAATGCAACACCAAGTATATAGTAGTCATTGCTAATTTTGGGAAGTAATCTACAAGTGTTCGAAAGTAAATGTTCAACCGTATCATTTTGAAAACGAAACCCAAGTAACTGACAGGCTGTCCAGTTCTGAGTAGCTAACATGCCACGTCAATCACATAAACAGTTTCTTCATGACTCGATCTACTCAGCTGCACGTCACACAACCCGCAGGCTTAAATACACGTGACGTCATTCCTGAGAATTACAACGTTCCATCACAGGCAGATCTGATTTCAGCAAACTTTCATATTACTGAACACCACCACCCAACACACGGCCATTATGGTGATTTCTACACAAAGGTTCTCACAGACAACTTCACACTTGTTTGCACTTCTGTCCTACAGAACGTCTTACAAGTCCCCAACTACAAGGAACACTGGAGTTACCGACATGCGNTATTATTCACTGTTTTCGTCCTATTTGAAACACTGCTCAAAAACAGTGAATCCAATGAGTTTCCCTCATTTGGAGCAACAGCAATTTCCAGCTAGGTAAAACTATAAGGTGTAAGGTATGTGCTTCATTAATTACGCATCATGCCATGAGGTCCTCTGTGAGAGAGGACATATAGCTCCACCATTCATGAACTCGGCACTTGATGGAGGCGAGTAGTCAGCTTCAGACCCCGGCCGCTTTGCCCCCCGAACCCACTGAACACGAGTCTGGTTGGGCTCCAGAGCCGGTCTGGACGCTGTAGAGTAGAGAAAAATCTCATGGCGCTGCCGGGACTCGAACCCCGGCCGTCCGGCCCGTAGCCCCGTCGCTATACCGAGAAAATGTTTTCCCTTAATTCGTACTTAATTTCTCGAGCCCCTACAACAGAAATTAACACGATATTACTCGTACGTTTACACTGCTGTAGTTCGGAATATTTGAAAAACCAGTCGAGTCGCTCCGTCCACATAGAGTACATGGTTTGCCTCGGTATAACACACGTGTTTGCATATGAAAAGCCTTAACATCGCGCAAGAGGGCTTACACACCGACAGTTCCATACAAAACAAATAACTATTTGACAGCTTAAAGTAACAAACAAGGCATGTAAGTGTATTTGCGAAGAGCACCGTCTTCTGGGATATAGCGCCGTGTAGTCCTCTGAGTGTCAACCTCCATCTTCAGGACAGAGTAAGCCAAGTAAGATGCCAGCGTGAGGCCGCGCCATAGCTCAAGCGGTTAGTCGCTTGACTCGTAGTACGCGGGTTCAAATACCCGGCGGAAGTCGTCGAATTTTTAAGGGCGGAAAAATTCAGGGAACAAGTCCTCCGGGAGGGACTTTAAGCTGTGTGTCCCGTGTCGTAACTTTACGGCACGTAAAAGAACCTCATATCCCCAAAGGGGATCACTGAGCCAAAATCCAGGAAGTTTCCCGCCCAACAATAGTCTCTAAGGCCTCTGATAGATGGGGGAAGCATTATAGACACCGCTAAGGAACTCGCTTGCTCGGCGGGACTGATGGTACGCACCATTTATCGGTAGGGTATAGAGACTGGTAGACTATCATAGAGGGAAGCACAATAGATCAAACTGGTCGCAGTGCATGGGGAAACCCACCCTCTCTAAATAACTAACTAGTCGCTGGCTTCCCACCCCGGCGGCACGGGTTTGAGCACGTGTCTGGTCAAGTGGGATTTGCGGTGGACAAAGTGGCGCTGGAACAGGTTTTCTCCGAGTACTTCGGTTTCCCCTGCCAATCTTCATTCCGCCAAATTCTCCATCATCATAATTAGCCGGTGCAGGTACAATAGACCAATCAGTGGCCGACGTGCCGAGTGGACCCAGCTGGACTCCCCCCACCCCCACTATGCGAAGATACCAGCGTGAAAACAGGTGGAAAGCCTTTACGGCCCAGAAGACAGCCCTCTTCATAACCACCGGTGTGATAACCTCAAATCCTACATACATATACGTATTTGCATTTACGCTGTCATTACGTTTGAACATGCGAATTTTAAATGGCTTAGCAAAGTCATGGTACAAAACATTGGTTTCCAACCTGTCAGCGGGGGGGGATTAAGGTGGTTCCAAGCGGGCGTGAAGCCATGAGATTGAATTCTATTTTTAATGTCAAATTCGAGTGAAATAATTATCTGTAGCTGTATTTAATAATCTGTTCCATAAGCGCCTGTAAGAACTGTTAGTCCAGATATTTAAAAAAAAATACATCGATCAGATTTCAAAATTCGTTGCCATTCGTCGGTAAATTGCGGAACGTGAAGGATTTTTATTTAAAAAATGTATTTGTAACCAAATTTCTTGGCTATATACTTATTACAATTTGGTGATCACAAACAAAAGTATACCTATCCATGGCTCTACAGCCCTTGTGGACCTTGGCCGCTTTTTCATTTTCTTAATCTATATACAGTCGGTAGGACTCCTTGGACGGGGGATCAGCTCGTCGCAAGGCCGCTACCTACACACAGACGTCCACGCCTTAGACCGCGCGGCCACTGTGATCAGCACTAACAGAACTACAAAAATGGAGGTGTGGGGGCGCCATATGGGTTCGGTGAAACCCAAAAGTGAGGCTCACATTAAGAAGGTTGGGAGCCAATCGTATAAAGGAACCCACATATTTTCTTTAAAATTTCCCTGGCTTTACGTTTTCCACGTTTATTTCAGGCGATCGCTTCGAAAGCCTAAGATCTAAGATCGACGTTTCGATGCGTCCTTAACATCCACCGTCGGGTTGCTCAGCCTTCAGCGCACCATTACCCATCCCGTTCAGATTCCCTGTTGGGCCTTGCCACCTATCATGGCGTTACTGCGTACCACACCAAGAGATGTTTCATGCTTAAAGTCTTTTCTTTATTGCTAGTGGGGTGGGACTAAGTCCCTTGTGCTGCGGCCACTTCTGGCCTATTGTACCAGCACCAGATGATAGGCGAGGGTGATTGTGGAGCAATTGGTGGAATGAAGATTGGAAGGGGAAACCGAAGTACTCGGAGAAAACCTGCCCCAGCGCCACTTTGTGCATGATAAATCCCACTAGACCAGACCCGGGACCGGGAAGCCAGCGACTAACCGCTTGAGCTATGGTGTGGCCCAATCCTTAAAGTTATAACATATCCTGTGGGTGCACTGGTCACACTGTAGGGGGAGAAAAAAAATGAAAGCAATGGATATGCAATTTCTTAGAAGTCTTCTTTACTGGCGCTACAACCCTCTGTCGGTGTTGGTCTCCTCCACGGTTCCGTAAACTACATTCTCCGGGGGTGGAGGTCGTTAGTCCCACGCCCAACCCCCAACCTGGAGGACCAGGGACTGCACTTCGTCTGGTCCCTATCCTTTGACCTGTCTGACATGGTGGCTCTATCAGGAGTTTACGCTCCCGCCAGAATAGCTCTCCGGGTCATTGTGGCGCATAATCCTCGTCTCCGCGATAATTATTGGGAAGTAATGATGAAAAAATGCACAGAATTGGATACGAACTTTTCAGAAAAGTTGAAATGTAAAATATGTGACAGATCGGTGATTACAATAGTTCGGCCATGTAGACATGATGGGTACAGCAATTACCTGTTTTAGGGAGGAAAAGACCCGTGGGGAGAAAACTGGAAAACATCAATACGAGCGGAAACGGGAAAGAAGTGGGAAATAAAATACTGTGGGGGGTTTCCATCCATCGACTTGCATAAAACTAAACCGTTGCTAGAATAAGACACGGGTGACAAGGAAATGTGCATAGGCCTAACGACGGGCAGATTTTAAATTAAACTCTCAATCCATGTTCGTATCCCGTATCACCAGCCGGAGAGGCAAGCGCATCACCTACTGGCGACACAAAACACGGAAAGAGGGGCCTGTCATATTCCTTCACCAGCCGATGAGGCAAGCGCATCACCTGCTGGCAACACAAAACACTGAAGGGGAGCCTGTCATATTCCTTCACTAGTCGGAGAGGCAAGCGCATCACCTACTGGCGACACAAAACACGGAAAGAGGGGCCTGTCATATTCCTTCACCAGCCGATGAGGCAAGCGCATCACCTGCTGGCAACACAAAACACTGAAGGGGAGCCTGTCATATTCCTTCACTAGTCGGAGATGCAAGTGCATCATCTGCTGGCAACACAAAACACTGACGGGGTGGGGGGGGCTGTCATATTCCTGCTGGCTAGTATGATGCGTACTCACATCTGGATGCTCCTTGACGGGAACGTAAACTTTCTCTGTAAGCGTAGTGGGGGTCCCCTCAGCGTCAGGCAGCACCAGGGGTTCCTTCTTTGCGCCATTTATCTGGAACAGACTCGACCGGACCTTGGCTATTTCTGTAACACAGTAAAAACAGAGGATATTAATTTGTCGTAATCTACTATTACATAGCCTATTATAAGAGGCACAAACATCAGTACCTTCATGTCACAAGCCTACGATATTAAGAGGTAAAGTTGTCCGTATGCTTAATTAATTAAGCATTACGCCATGACGACGTATGGGGCAATGGAGGTATTGCGCCACTATTTTTGACCTCTGTTTCACGCTCTGGCCGTTGGACAGGAGGCTGGGTAGAGCAGGTCTGGACACTGTGTAGAAGAGAAAACCTCTTGCTACCGCCAAGAATCGAATTCGGCCATGAAGCTATAGAGCCTGAGCTATCCCGCTCAAGTTGAGAGGGCGGTGCAATGTGTTTTTTCAAGAGTTCGTGCACTCCTTCATAAGCAGCTCCTGTCGTCACGACATTTTAATTGTTCAAGGGTTCGAAGAATAAGGACAAAGAAAAAGTGAAAGGATATCAAGCCCACGATAATTCATGAGCCATGAGACAGACGGCTCGCGCTGCAATTGAGCAACTCAAGTCTGGCACTTGTAAACAAGGCGCATGTTGTCATTGCATCTAACAATGGGACCTGGAGACTGAGTAAATATTGGGCAAACAATGCATTTGTCATGGCAGGGACGCACTTCTGTACAGTTCAATGGCTGGAAACAGCAGACACTGGGCGCCTCGTGCGAGGCCTTTGTGGACCGAATCAGAAAGTGGGGGGAGACATAAGTGTACAAATAGAAAGGACGGACAAAGGAAGGAATAAATAAATGACATAACAAAGAAAGAAGGAACGGCAACGAAGGAAATTAGTGAAAAGTACAACACAGAAAGAAGAAATGACAGAAGGGAGAAAGATGAAAAGAGAGTGGGAACGAAAGAAATTAAGAGATAGAGAGGTGATGAAGGCGACGAAGAAACGAACAGGGCAAAGGAACAAGCAAGAAATGAAAAAGGACAATAAAGGTAAGAATAAAAATGAATAACAGAACACAAAGAAATAAGAAACATAGACCGAATGAAGAAAACGAAACGAACAACGGAAGAAAAGAAACCAGTTTCAGTTCTGTCTATAGGATGACACGATAGATGAGGAAAAGGAGGAATACATGATATGAGGAAGATGATAAAGATGGATGGATGGACAATGAGAGGAGTGGATGGACGAGGGAAGCAGACGAAAGACAAACAAGGAGAATACAAAGCAGATGACAAGGAACACGATGATGACTTTAAGCGACACCCCTCTAACCCCAATGGTGGATTTAATCCTCCACTCCTCCATACGCCGTTATGGAAGTGCTTTAATTACCCAGGGATAACTTTACCTTATGGGTTTAGCTATCGCTGACAACCGTTTCGGGGTTCCAACATCTGTTTGCCACAACGGAATGAAGACCTAGCCGAGAATACGGCCAGCACTGCGCGTCCTTGCAGCCATAAAGCAGTTTTCATAAATAACCTGGCGTATATCGGAATTTCGTGCTAAGCTCCCTCCTCCTCATGGCGTTCCATATTTATGATCACGCACCGCGACTAATGGGTGAGGTACTTGAGAATAACTGACCATCTTTATGTTGTTTCTTTATGAAATATACTGCCGTCGTGACATCTGAAGGCCGGGCAAGCGATATGACACAACATGCGCTTGGTACGTCTGCCATGTCGTAGGGCCTTAGTGACACCATCTTGTTAGACCTCTTTAGAATACGCAATTGTACAGAGTCGCCTGAACCTCAGTTGTCACATCACGAGAAAACGAAGTCCTGACTGGCGGCCAATTAATGCCACGTATTATAAACAAGGTCTTACGTTTCCTAAAGTAAATAAATTGCTTAGAAGATCTCGTCATCACAGTAAATGCTCAAAATGTCTACAAGCGTACCTTGGTTCGGTTCCAGATCGCAGCAACAAAGCTAGTCACACAAATTTTTTGGTTTCCCAGTGCATATAAGAGTTACGTTTAAACTATACTGTAGGCCATTAGGCGTGCAAAAGCATTCAGTCTAAAAACAATGCACATACCTTAATTAGAATATTTAACTGTTAAAGAAATGCTAGCCATCAACTGAGCTTCCAGTGAGTCGTAATCTTTCCGTTGACGGAGGGTCTTGCCTCGATGTTGATGGCTGTTGAGTGATCAGGGAGGTGGTTGCTAAAGGTTGGGGTGGCTGTGGCCTTTTCTTAAAATGAGACAACAATGAAGTTTGCCGAATCGACTGACTCTTCCTCTCAGGAAAGATTTCTGGCTTCCGAAGAGATGTGCGTCTGTTTCTTTCACTTGAACACTTAGAGCGCATTGTTGGGTTATTAAAGGGTGTAATTTCAATATTGTTGTGTCTCAGAGAACAGGGAGGCCCAAGCAGAGGGAGAGAGACGGGGGAAAGGCCGGTCGGTGGAGCAGTCAGAAAACACATAACATTTATCGATTAAGAAGAAAGCAGTCTTCTGGGATTTGGCACCGTGTATATGTGGTGTTAACCGACGTTTCGGAGGAACGTATCGCCTCCATCTTCATCTTCCACCGAAACGTCGGTTAACACCACATATACACGGTGCCAAATCCCAGAAGACTGCTTTCTTCATAGTCACCGCCGTGAAAGCCTCAAATCTTTATCGATTAAGTTCGCCGTCTTATATGTGCGCGGTTCTTGGCATCCCAAAACAATTACAATAGTAACATCTTAGGTCACTGATAGTGATCACAAATAACCATAACAGATATAATAATGAAAAGTTCGAAATATTGCAAGAATTACCAATTTTTACACAGAGATAAGCGGGCATATGCTGTTGGAAAAATGGCGCCGATAGACTTGCTTCACGGAGGATTCCTAGAAACCTTCAATGTCTTTAAAAACTGCGAAGCGCAATAAAGCGACGTATGCCTATGTCTGACCGCCTCTGTGGTCTAGTGGTCAGAGTGTCTGCCTAGAGATAGAGGTCCGGGTTCGATTCCCGGCGCTGCCAGAATTTCTGAGAAATAGTTTATCTCTAACGGGGTCCGCTCAGCCTCGTGAGGATAACCGAGGAACGATTTCAAGGAAATAGCGGCTCCGGTCTAGCAAACCGAGATTAAGGGCCGTCGAAATCAGTTGCGCTGAACATGCGACACCGTCTGTCCGCTAAAGTTGGGACTAACTTCGCCGACAAGCGGCGGTCGCTCGGTCGGTATAGTTCGCTTGCGGGCTAAAGCCACGGAGTTTGTTTTGATGTTATTTATCGAGGGAAATATCAGTGTGGTTAAGACACAGGACCAGCATGAGCCGAGAGTACGGAGGTAGTGATACGTTATTCTAGGAAGCCTAAGTACCTGGATTATACGGCGTCGAATAGTAAGCTGGATGAATTGGAGAGGATCTGGAAGGAAGCAATACTGACATAATCGGGAACTATAGAGAAAGAAAAGCCATTAAATCCCATACACAGGATAGCATGTATCCTGGCCGGGATTCGAATGGAGACACCTCGGGAATAAGGGCCAGAAGAATCACCCCTACACCAACCCGGCTACTAGACTGGTCTAGAGGTAAACGGCGGGAGAAAATGTGTACGTCACTAGTCTAGAGAACACTGGATAAAACCACGACATGAAGTAACTGGCGAAACCTGTGAAATGTGGCGAAGTCCAAATATTTACGAAGGATAACAAATGAAAATCGCAACCGGCAATGCTTGCTATCATTCTGCTGGGAAACTTATGTCTTCTCGTTGCCATGCGAAGGTAACGATTGGCCCATTCATCTACGCGTATAATTCTGCCTGTAATTTGCATAGGTGTTTATCTTACATTAACAGCAGAAAACACAACGTGGGCGGCTGAATGCTACACGCCCTGCCCATTTTATCCTCCGTGACTTCATCACCCGAATAATGCTTCACTCGTTCACTCATGGAGCTGAGCCCTTCTTGAAAAGTCGCCAACTGTGAAGCGACTCGAGAACTTCCCAGCATTTTATGGAAATCGAAGGTTCCGTAACGTGTACAGAAGAGCCCTCCACTGGCCCATATCTTGAGCCAGATCAATCCAATCCTGTCTCTCTAAGGTCCATTTCAATACACTTGGTAGACCTACGACCACAAAAAAATGAATAAAAGATGTTTAAAATGTAAAAGTTTTTAAAAATAAATTATAAAGATTATAAAAAGATTAGAAAATACTGTTAATAAATACATGGCCGACATACGACCTGTCAGTCAGAACGGAAGTCGGTCGTAAGTCGACGACCAAGTGTAGTGTCCACCCACCTGCGTCTTGGTCTTCCCAGTGGTCTCTTTCATTCTGGCTTTCCCACCAATATCCTATATGCATTCCTCTTCACCCATTCGTGCT